ATACAACTGTTATCGCAATCCATACACACATCAATTGTGTAAAGCGCATTTGTACATCATTCTTAAAACATTTTCTCTCCACTTAAACCCCCGACATTAGGTCCTCATTTTCCCCCTCCCTCCCCGCTCCCCCGGAAGTTTTCATTATTGTCATTTATTAGTAGAACTTTTCTAAACCCAGCTTTAATTGTCTTTTGGAATATGGAGCATTGCTTATAAATAATTACAAGAGCACACCTGTGAATGATAAAATCAGCAAATTATATGCTGCTGCATTGTATATGGTAAATATATGACTAATGATAAGATGTACCCCCCAAAATGATAGTCTTAAGTACGATTCTTCAGACTTGAATATGCTGCGAATCAGGGACTACCTGTTTAACAGGATGGGAAGATGCAACTACATAGTTATCAGAGGGCAAATCAGAATCAGAGTTAGGGTGTGGTTAAGAATAGAGGAAACCACCGTACGATAGAGTGAGAAGGTTTTAAAATGTCATGTGGTATATCAAGCCACTTCCTTGATAATCTGGCCCAGGAATTTATTCATTTGTTTATTGAGCAGACTTTTAGACAGGAAACTTTTGGGGTGACAGCAGCATGCATTTTTAATACAATATGACCAAGACGTACTAGAGGCATTTGCAGAATATTAACCGATAAAGGAGGGAATGGAGGAAATTTTCCTAGAAGGTTGTATTTGAGCTGAATTAAAGAGAAGGGAGACCCCTTCCTTCCAAACAAACAGTCTGAAGAAAAACTTAAACCGAGGATTCACAGTGCAGGGCTGGGAGCCTCAGCTGTTACCTGCAGAATTAGTGATGGGAGGTAGGACAGGGATTTAACAATATCTGTACTTTAACCACAGGTAATGGGCTTTGCATAGAATGATGTGATTATAAATGTGTTTTGAAAGACTAATTTGGCAATCGTGTAAACATATAGATGATGAATTGTAGGGCTGATTCTGGTGGCAGAAAGGTGGAGTTAAAGGCAGTTGCAGTAGTCCTAGAAAAAGGTAAGGAAGTTCTTTTGTATGATTCGATTTATAAGAAATGTCCAAAGTAGGCAAATGCATAGAGACAGTCAGTAGATTAGTGCTTTGCTGGAGGCTATTGGAGAGAGAAGGGGAGAAGGTATTGGGATTTCTTTTTTGTAGTGATTAAAAAGTCATATTCTGGAATTAGACAGTGGTGATAGTTACATAATTTAGACCCACTGAATTGCACATTTTAAAGGGTGAATTTTATGATAACTGCATTATAGCTCTAGATCTGTCTATATAATGTACACATAAAGAGAGAGAAAGAGGTGATGGCCTTCGTGTAAGCAGGGAGAGCATGGATAAAGAAGGCGAAGCTGCATTTAAGAGAGACTTAGTGGTAGAGAGAGATCTATGGTACTTGGGGATTCAGTTTTGGCCATATCCAAAATGAAAGAGCTGTTGGTTCTGATGTCTCCAGTTTGGATGATTGGAATTATAGAGAAAGGAATTTGGGCAGTAGGGGCGAGGTGTGGGCAGCAAGTTTGGAGCAATGTAGTAAATTCTGTGTGAAATGTGTTAAATCTGCAGTTAAGTGTGAAAGTCCACATTTTCGGAATGATTGAGCTGCGAGTGTTTAGGAGTTAACTGAAGAAATCAGTCCAATGGATAGTTGATGTCCATTCATCCTGTTTTCTCCCCTTTTATCATCAGATCTGGTGCAGTGGGTGTTGTTTGTGTTTGCTTTTTGTCATTTTGTGTTAAATGGATCTCTGTATTGCTTTTGTAGGCAGAGGCAAGGCTAGCCGCCAAACGGGCTGCCCGAGCAGAAGCAAGAGATATACGCATGAGAGAACTGGAGCGACAACAAAAAGAGGTAATCAGGGGATGTCTATACCAGTTTTATGTTACTGTAAACCTGTATCCATATATAGGATTAAAAACTCTTGGGAAAGATATTTACTAACAATACCTTGGAAGTATGATTGGTTTTTGGAAATTTTGAATATGTTCTTATCATTAAAAACCAAAAATATTAAAAAAATATTGAAATCAGGCAGATTCAATAGAAGGTTCTGGATTAAGTGTGGGAGAAATATTTGGAACAAAGTGAAAAGAGAGACCAGGCATATTGGTTGCTTGGAGATAGGTGGGACCCCCTGCCTAGGACTATGACCCTTGGGCACCCTTCAGGTCTGAAACTGTACTAACCCCCTGTTAGGATAACCAACCAGTTCAGACCCAAAGGGCAGCATTTTTCCAAGCATGAAGGTGAGGACCGGAAGAAGACTAGAAACAGGAAACACAGGGAGGAAGTGGGATACATGACAGTCCATTGAGGGGGTTGAAATGCATGAGTTGAAACAAAATGCTTATAAATTGTTAAATGTACAACTCATCTGTTCTGTAAAACTTCACCTAAATCATAATAAAAACTTAAGAAAAGAAATTGGGCTAATTTAAAATTAAATACATATTCATTTACTCTTTTCACCTTTTCATCCTGGAATTGATGTGGCTCTGAAAAATCCAATGAAAATATTTTTTTTATTTCTTATCTTACAAAGGGAAAACACCTGTGGAACGGTATAAATACATTATTTTAATGTTGGTAGTGCGTCTTTTGCTAACAGGTTAGAGAGAAATTCATAGATTTCATGTTGTCACACTTCAGGAAAACACAAGCAATTGTTATGTTGCTAAATTTTTTTTGCTAAATTTTTTTAAACCTCTTACATGATGGG